GCACAGGGGCAGTTCTACCCTGTCCTGTAGGGTCACTGCGAGTCAGCATCCACTCAGTGGCACTGAGTGTAAGAGTTATTTTGTTTTTTCTTTTGAGATCTACTCTCATAAAGACTTGAAGCGTCAGAAACCCTCCATAAATAAATAGGGTTGCTCTGAGATGGAATCCACTCAATAGCAGTGGATTTTGTTGTTGTTGATACACTATGTAAACAGTCCTGAGTGATTGACACCGTGCTTCCATTACTACTGCAAACAGTGCCACAATAAATATATGTGGTGAATGAATCTTTCTTATTTGAGTCACATGTCAATTACTGTATTTGACAGTACCCTTTATTTTAGGGTTTGGGGTGACAGGAAAGAGCCAGTTCTAAGATGTTCATTGGAAAAGGTAGCCAAGAAAACTACAAAGCAATTATTGCTCGACATGCACAGATTTATTAGCATCCAACAAGTTAAATAACCCACCACTCAATTAAGCAATGAGCACAACAAAGAGGGGAAGCCCAGGCTGCCTTCGCCCTGCGATTTGGTTTGCCTTTGTCTTTCTTTACCACGGATGGTTCCCAGCTGGTGCAGCAATATTACCCTTGTTCTTTACCCACGGATGGTTCCCAGCTGGTGCAGCAACATTACCCTGTTCTTTACCCAAAGCAGTGCAAGCGAGTCAAAGGGACGTTAAGGCAGTTGTCCAGAAGAGAGACTCAGGGAGACCAGAGATGTTGTTCTTCAATGTCTGGTTACTTTTCAAAACAAACATTATTTTAACAAGCAGTGATATTGCAATTGCCTTTAGTCATTGAGTTACAGTGTGTTGTACGTCTGTCTCGTGACTTCTTTGTTCTACCCTACTTGATGTTTGTTAGGTCTCTTAGATCGGTTTTCCTCTTCAGTTGCAAAATTCTCAACCACTATATTTGCTATATTTTCTCTCTTCTCCTTCCGGAACTCTCTTTTTCAAACTCCCCTCTTTGTTGTTTGGTGTTTCACTCTGAATCCTTCCTCTTGAGCTTCATTAATCATATCTTCAACTAAATCTAAACCATTGTTAAAATCACTCATTTTTTTATTTAAATGGGAAGTTTCAAACACAAGAGTAGAAAGCAAAGACTAATGAATCCCTCTGTATGTCTCAGATAGCTTCAAAAATAATAAAATATGGTTCGTTCCATTTTATCTATGGCCTCACCATTTCTTCCCAGATTCTCAGACATTATACAATTTCATTGGGAAATACATGAGTTTTTATCTCTAAGACATAGGGACTGTTTTTAATATAAACCTAACATTGCTCAATCAACGAATAATTCACTAAAATCATCTAATACTCATCCGGTGCCCACTTCCCTAGCTCACTCATTAAATTATTATTTTTTAAAGCTTTTTAATTATGAATTGGGTGAAGTCTTATTGAGCAGATAAGTTTTGGGGGCTTTTTTTTTTTTGGTGGGGACCAGAGTAAAAGCTCTTTTATACATTTGCCTGAGCATCATCAGCTTTTTGTATTTTAACTCTTTATTGTGATTCGGGTGAAGATTTACAGAGCCGATCATGAGTTTTACACGCAACAATTTATACACATTTTGCTTGAATTCATTTGAGTTCATCCCTTCAATGTGCCATTGTGTCCCCCGTCCCTCTCAGGAGTCCGTTTCCATTCCTCCTCCTTCCCTAGTCCTCTGTCCTTGGGTAAATGCTCCCCGATGAGCTCACATGATTTGCTCGTTATCCTAACAGGGAGGGAGTCCTTTCCAGACGCGAAGGGTGACTATGGGGTAGAGTCTTGGAGGGTCCCCAGTCTCAATCTGATCAAGACATCTGGTCTCATGATTTTGAGTTCTGGGGCACATTTTTCTCCCACTCTACCCAGGGCCTCCTAATGCAATCCTTTTCAGAGTAGTTGGTAGTGGTACCCAGTCCCATCTTCTGGCCTCAAGATTATGGGAGACTGGTGTCTTCGTGGTCAGTTTCTCCACTAGACTAATTGTTTCCATGTGTCTTGAGTTTCATCACTTCTTGCCTCTGGACAGGGAGAGACCCCTATTTGCATCTCTGATCGCTGCGCACAAGTTTTAAGACCCCAGTTACTACTTGCTGAAAGAGGGTGTAGAACACTATCTTTGTGACCTTTGTTATCCCGTGTGACCTTGGAGTCCCATGAGGAGTAATCCATACTGCAGGCTGTAATCCTGAATCGTCATCAGCAAGTGCTTCAAGTCCTCCTCACTTTCAGAGAGCAAGGTTGTGTCATTTGCGTAACCGCAGGTTGTTAATGAGCCTTCCTCCAATCCCCACGCTGCCCTCTTCATATAGTGCAGCTTCTCTGGGAATTGCTCAACGCGCAGACTGAACAAGTGTGGTGAGTGAGGACAGCCCCGATGAGTGCCCAGCAGGATGAGCATGTCCTGTTCATCTGTGCGTCTATCAGCTTGTGACGACACCACTCTGCTTCCTCATATGATGAATTCCAAGTGGAAGGATCGCTGGGTTATATGCTATTTTGATTTGGATTTTTTCAAGGACGTGTCAAACCCTGTCCCACAATGGTCGCACCATTTCAGTCTGACCAATAGCGGGTAAGGGGTCCAGTCTCGTCAAACTCTCTCCAGCATTTGCTGTTTTCTGGTTTTTGAACTTTGCTGTTAGAACTGGAGTGAAATAATAGCTCATTGTTTGGACTTGCATCATCCTCATGGTTAATGATCAAGAGCATTTCTTCAGATACCTGATGACTGTCTGAATTCTCTTCTTTGGTAAAGTGTCTGTTCATTTTCTGAACTGAATTATTTGTCTCCCAAAGGTATTTTCAAAGCTAGTTTGAGTCTGGGAACAAGATGTCCACATTGCATTCAGTAGATATGGCTCTTATACCTCTTTTACTACAATCTCTTCTTTCTTTTTAAAATCTTGCACTGTATTTGTGCAAGAGACTAGGACATTCATTCTGTTTTATTCCTTGTGATATTGAACATATTCTCCTATTTCCTGTCATTAAATTTGGAGTCTCCATTTTGAAGGAACACTGCCTAGATCTGTGCATTTGACACCTCCCTCTTTTAATATACTTCTTCTGGGGAAAGGCGTCGTTTCCTGTCTTTCTGAAAGGCAATGTATGCAGTGTAAATATTGTTTTGGCAATGTGAATATTTTAAGGCCTTGAATATTTGAACTTGTTTTTGTTCTGGGCTCATAATTAAATGATAACTTGCCTGAATACAGACTTCTGCATTGGAAATCATTTATCTCAGAATTTTCAAGATATTTCTCCGTTGTCTTCTAGCTTCCAGAACAACTTAATGCAGTTCAGATACCTGATCCATGTACAAAATGTTTTCTTTTCTCTGAAAGCTTTTAGAATTTTTTCTGTGATGCCTAGGAACCCGTGTCATGATATTTTCAATAACAGGGCTTTCTACTCTCTAAACAGTCACGATCTGGGAAACTCACGGGGCAGTTCTACCCCGTCCTATGGGGGCACTGTGCGCCGGCATCAACTCCTCGGCAGTGAGTTTGCTTGTTTGGTTTGGGTTTGGTTTAGCTCTGTAGGGAAATCAGCTCTCTCAAGTCTGCTCAGGCAGTTTGTGTTTCTCCATCTGCCCTCTAGTTTACAGAATACTATTTGTGGGAAACTGAGCACCTGGAAGAAAGTGTTGGTGACCTGCTCCTAGCCCTGGTGACCACAGGCTTGGTATGCCAACCCTAGTGAGAGGCGCACCTCCACCGTTCCGAAATAAGGAACATGCCAAACGCACACATTCCAGGAAGGGTATTTCTCCACATCCACCCTCCACAAAATGATAATATAAAGCAGGCTCCTACAGATGCCTGCCTCCTCACATACACAGTGAAAAGATGCCTGGCTCTAAAAGTATCCGCTTCCGTAGTCTCTTCTTTTTCTTCTTCTTTTAAAAAAAATCATTTTACTGAGGGCTCTTACAGCTTTTATTTTTTAAATAACATTCCATACGTCAATTGTATCAAGCACATTTGTACACATGTTGCCACCATCATTTTCTAAACATTTACTTTCTATCTGAGCCCTTGGTATCAGCTTCTCTTTTTCCCCTCCCTCCCCACTTCCCCCTTGTGACCCCTTGATAGGTTATAAATTATTGTTGATTTCATATCTTATACTCATCACTGTCTCCCTTCACCAACATTTCTGTTGTTCATCCCCCTGGGGACGGATCATGAGTCAAAAATTGGTTCCCCCTTCCTCCATTCCTCCCCCATACCCTGCTGGTATTACTACTCCCATTTCTGTTCGTGAGGGGTTTATCTGACTTGGATTCCAAGTGTCGTGCGCTCTTATCTGTACTAGTGTACATGCTCCAGTCTAGCCAGAACTGAAAGGCAGGACTGGGGTCATGGTAGTCGGGGGTGGCGGTGGGGGTGTGGGAGCGGGGGTGTGTGTGTGTGTGAGGAAGCCTCAAAGAACCAGAGGAATATCATGTGCTTCATTGGTGCTATACAGCGCCCTGGTTGACTCACCCCTTCCTCCTAACCCTCCTGTGAGGGCATGTCCTCTTGTCTACAGATGGGTTTGGGGTGTCTGCTCCAACCCCCCTCGTTCTCAACAAGTTTTTGTTTTTGTTGTTTTGGGTCTTCTAGTGCCTGTTACCTGATCCCGTTGACACCTCATGATTGCACAGGCTAGTGTGCTTCTTCCGTATGGGTTCATTGCTTCTCTGCTAGATGGCTGCTTGTTTAATTTCAAGCCTTTAAGAACCCAGATGCTATATCTTTTGATAGCTGGGCACCATCAGCTTTCTTCACCACATTTGCTTATGCACACATTTGTCTTCAGTGATCATGCTGGGTGAGCATCACAGAATGCCAGGTTTTTAGAACAAAGTGTTCTTGCGTCGTGTCGAGGGAGGGCTTGAGCAGAGGCCCCCAAGTCTGTCCACTTCTTCAGTGTATTGCCATATAAATATATGTACATGGGTCAATACCTCTATTGCTATGGATTGATGTATTTACATAGGCGCACACCTTATTTATACTTCTATCCATCGCTTTGTTTCCTAGATATTTCCTGTTTCCTTTTACCTTCCTCCTGCCCCACCATCATGCTTGCCCTTCTTCTGCCTCTTAGTAATTCCTCTCCGCTAGATTGCTGTTGCTTCAGTACCACCAGAAACTCTTATGTCCTCCTTGTTGTTGCTTTGAATTCCCTAGTAGTTCCCCTGCCTATGGCCTTGTTTGCTCGCCCCTCCTCCCCACAGGTCTCTCGGGAACCGTTAGTCCTGTTGCTTTGTCCCTGGGTTTGCTCCCCTTGCCTATCTTATATTGGTAAGCAAACCAGCAAGAACAGTGTCTCTTCTTGAGGAGCTGATTTGTCTCTTGCATGCCAGGTGCCCCCTTTGAAGTACTATTCCCCTGAAGGACTACGGATATTCAACGTTAACACTGTATTGTGTATTAGCAAGAAGCTTGCAGGCTTGGTACCATGAAACCCTGTTGTTGAATAAACTCTAGACTCTTGTCTGGTTAATGGAGAGGGGTCCCCTGCACTCTGCAGGCTATCTTCCTTACGTTCCACAAGGGCGTACTTCGCTCGGTAGGACTGTTCGACTGTGGGGCTGGACCCAACGCTGAATATTGCTTCCTTTTCTGTATGGCTGACACAAATTACCAGGTTGTTTGAAAAGTTGTGTGTCTGAAAAGAGGTGTGCTCCTGTACAATACTGCCACCTGTCTGCCACTTGTGGTGGCTTGCTTGTTGCTCTGATGCTGCAAGCTCTTCTGCATTTCAAACACCAGCAGGGTCAGTCATGGTGGGCTGGCTTCAGCAAAGCTTCTAGACTGAGACAGACTAGAAATACAGGCCTACAGATCTACTGAAAGTAGCCAATAAAAACGCTTACAGAAAAAAAACAACAACAACCTTACAGATCACAACCAAATACTGTTCAATATCCCAGTAAGAGTTGCATGACAGAGTATAATCAATGACACTAAATATATATGTAGACAGTATTGAGTTGGAGAATGTTTTGTTATGTATATTTTTGTCAAAGTTAAAAAAATTACACTAATAATGACCACAACGAAATGCTCAAAAAAATTTTAAGGCATGACTTATTTATTAAATGTTCTCTGCCAAGATTTCACAGTAGCTTACAATGCAGTCTTTGTATTTCTCTACTGACACGGTCTCCAGCAAGCACACAGTGAGCCCTAGGGTGAACCCCTTTGCTCTCTGGGTGAGCCAACTGGCGTTAATACTGCTCTGCTACAAGGTCGAAAGTTCCTAACTCAAACGAATGGAAAAAGGAGGGAGACTTCTGCAAAGTGCACTTTAAGAAGAGGTACTTTTGAAAAGAAACTAGTGAGTCCTCTAAGAATCATAAAAGGGAGTATTTTACAGTGAAGCAAATGATTTGGAGCGAAGAATTCGGATGGTGCTCCTCTGCTGGTCCGGGCTGTTAGTACTCTTCTTCCTCCTCGAGCAGGTCCTCTTCATCTGGTATCACAAATCCTTCTTCTGTGGCATAGAGAACTTCCGCAATCTTCTGCAGCACGGGGTCGTCTTCCCCCTCGTTCTCCTGGCAGATCAGCTCGATGTGCCTCAGCTTCCCAAAGCAGAACTTTCTCTCCCTCGCCAGATCTTCGAAAGCAACCTTCAGCACGTTGACCTGCTGCATCAATTCGGCTGCTTCCTCTTCCCGGTTGCCCACAGCCGGGTCCTTCTCCACCTCACCGGGGCCGGCTTTCGCAGGAGTTGCAGTTTCCGGTGTGGCCGCGGGCCTCTGCGGGGCTGCACTGCTAGTGCTCAGAGGTTTCTTCCGTTTATTAAGAACCGGAGCAACAAGCGAAGGGGCCACCGCCGTTTCCTGACCTTGTCTGGCAGCTACAGGGTCACAGTCCTTGCCATTGTAGTTTGCATCAAAAAACTTCTTGAACCACTGAACAAATTCAAAATTGTCCTGAAACTTCCCTTTTACTAATTTGTCGACGGGAATGATCTTGTCAACACCCATCCTCTTAAAACCTGCCTGTAGTATTTTGAAGTTCTGAATGTATTCGTGTTCTAGCTTGGCTTGGAATTTCACTTTCTTCAAGGCAATGGAGCCCGGAAACAGCATGTCCATAAATTGGCAATAAGCAGCCCCTGAGCACAACTGTTCGATCTTTGTCAGATTCGACGGCAGGCACTCGTTGATCCAAGCCAGCATGTCATGTCGACTCAGGTTATCGCTGGTGACTGACGTCAAGTATACGTTCACTGCCATCTTCGGCTCTCAGCTGACCCTCGTCCAGGGCCCGTACCCGGCTCCGGTTTGGTCTTCGTCTTGTTCAACCGCCCGGCCCCACCCGCCGCCGCCCGCCCGCCCGCGCGGTGACTTCACACGCACCCCTGTTGCGCACCGACGCAAAAGCAAACGCTCTAAACTGGACCGTGGTGATGACTGTTGTGTGATGACGCATCCGATGACGAAACTATCGGTATGTGGAGGAAGAGCCGAGAGAACTTGTATCTGTGTATAGACGTAGGACATAAACGTATAGAATATGAGCTGGAGGATGAGCCCCCTAGATTGGGAAGCACTATACTCACGAATAGCTACAACAAGGAACGCAGACATCGATTTCCAGGAAGATGCCGCAGGACTAGACAACGTTTTGGTCTGTTACACGGACGTACGCAGGTCGCCAGAGTGAGTACCGAGTGGACGTCAGCTAACGACCACTTCTCTACAGTAATTGTCGTGCAACAGGTACTAAGTAACTTTAAGGTACGTCGCGCCGACCCCCCTTGAGCTAAAATCCTCGGTGTGGTCGAATAGGACGTAGGCGCAGAGAAGTCAGACTTGAAATTTGACAGCTGGGGAGGAGCCCAGGGCCGCTGCTGCGAGGGCCTCCTGGGAAAGCCACGCCCCTCGGGCCAGAGGGAGGAGGCGGGTCCAACCTCGGCGAAGACGGCTTCGTCCGGCGGACCAATCACGTGCAGCGAGCCATTGGCTCCCGGTCGCGCGCGTTCCACCTTCTCGTGGATTTTAGAGCCACGTTGACAAATGAGAACAAGGGACGTAAGAGCGACAGCATGTACAGCCAATGAGAACTTGCATCGCTAATGAGCGAGGTGAAGCCGCTGCCAGGTTTAAGGCGGAAAGAGTTGCTCTAGCTAAGCCGGGGAGCGAAAGATGGCGGCCGGAACGCTGCTGTCCAGTCTTCTCAGGCTGCTGCTTCTGGGGCTCCTGTTACCTGCAAATGTCGCCGACGCTGTAGGGAGCTTAAACCTGGAGGAACTGAGTGAGATGCGCTACGGGATCGAGATCCTGCCTTTGCCGGTCATGGGAGGGCAGGTGAGGCGGGGGAGGGTAGGGTGAGGGTCCGGGACCGAAGACGAAAGGGGAAAACGTAGAGAAGCAGGCCAGCTGCTGAGCCTGGGGTAAAAGCCTCAGGAGAATCGAGAAGACTAGATCGGGGGTTGTCGGTGACTTCGGAATCACAGTCCGAGCCCCAGTCTCATGGGGCCGGGGGCTGGGAGGATGGGGCTTCCCGCGGTCGGCTTCCCAGTCCCAGTTCCTGTTCGATACCGAGACTCCGCCCCCGGGGAGAAGTGGGCGTGTTCTCCCCCGCACCCTGCGGGCACAGCTGGGGAGCACTTGTGGGTCCTGCTGTCCCCAGCTGTGCTCTTCCCCAGGGTCTGAAGAGGGATCTCGTTGTTCTCCCTGATCCCAGCCTCTTTTTGCCTCCCTGCTCCCCGACCCCCTCCCTTTTTCTCCCCCAGAGCCAGGCTTCCGACGTGGTGATTGTCTCCTCCAAGTACAAACAGCGCTATGAGTGTCGCCTGCCAGCGGGAGCCATTCACTTCCAGCGTGAAAGGGAGGAAGAGGCACCTGCTTACCAAGGGCCTGGGATCCCTGAGTTGTTGAGCCCGATGAAAAATGCCCCTTGCCTGCTAAAGGTAAAGGGGGCTGGAATGGAGGAGACAGGACTTGGAAATTAGCAGAGCCCCTGAAACCCAGAGTGCAGGATCTAGAGGACTTGTAGGAGTGAAGAAGGCCGCGTAGGAGCCGCAGTGTGAGACAGACAGGAAGGGACAGAGAATCCAGCAGCGACCCATGTGGCTCTACCCTGTGTAGAGCAGGGTTAACTTTATCCCTCAGAGTAAGGGATAAGCAGAGACGGAGGTGCGGGAGGAAGTGTGAGATAGAGACGACACTTCCTTCGAAAAGCCTCTGGATCAACTCTGGCAAAGGCACTGCCTGGCCCTGGCACTCGCAGACCCATTAACCTATTTTATTTTCATCCTAGCACTGCCCCTCCCCCTTTGTTTCTGAAATCATCCTGTTACCTGGATCGTCCGTTTTGTTCTTTACTTATTTTTGGTCTGATCACCTGCACTAGAATGTACGTGGGTTTCATGAATTCCAGGGAATTCATCTTGCTCACAGCTGTCCGTACCCCTCATGTCTGGATCAATCCTCAGAATGTCGTAGATGCTTACTTTACTGTGTGAGGTTGGGGGGCTCCCGTGTTTCCCTGGTCTGAGTGCTTCAAGGAGGAACAGAAAGAGCACAGGGGAAACACACTCGAGGTATCACCCCCAAGTTACAGAAAGAAACAGTACTCTTTTTCGATTGAGCCCGGAGAATCGAGTGGCCCTGGGGGAGAGATGAGAGGTGTGTCTCAGGAGAGATGCTGGTCCCCGGGAGACACATCCCTGTTCCATCCCTCGATTGTCCTGTTTTTGTTTTGTTTTTAATGGCCAGACCAAGGACTGGTGGACATATGAATTCTGCTATGGGCGCCACATCCAGCAGTACCACATGGAAGGTGACTCCCTCCCTAATTCTCCCTAAGCCCTCAGCTACAGGTCATGCATGGGAAGTGATGTTGCTCAATTGTGCTTTCCCCTTGCAGATTCCGAGATCAAAGGTGAAGTCCTCTACCTTGGTTACTACCAATCTGCCTTCGACTGGGATGATGAAGCAGCCAAGGTAGAAGTGTGGGGTTGGGAGGGAAGGGGGTCTTGGCTGCAGCCTAACAGTCTTGGGTTAGGGTTACGATTGGCTGGCATGGTTTCTGGGTCGGGGCAAAGGCCCCTGAGCTTGGATTCCCAAAGTCTCTTCAGGCCCCGGTGGGGACTCAGTGCCATTCTTCCTCCTTGCTGTCCCTCTCATCTCCCTCTCTCCTGTGCTGCCCCCCCCCTCCCCCAGGCCTCTAAGCAACACCGCCTGAAGCGCTACCACAGCCAAACCTATGGAAACGGATCCAAGTGTGACCTCAACGGCAGGCCCCGGGAGGCTGAGGTTCGGGTGAGTTTGGAGGGAAGGAGGTTGGCCTTCCCTCAGGGACCATTCAAAGTCTAAGGGAAGAGAGTAGGGCTCTCCCAGAGAGACATATTTCCAGCTGTCAACTGGCTGTTGCTGCGGGGATGCCCAAAGGAGCTTCAAGTCAACATTTCCCCCTGGCCTGGTCTGGCCTCGCCTCAGCATCCCTAACACCACACTCTTTCCTCCACGCTTCTTCTGTGTGCCCTCTTTGACGCTCCTTCTCCTTCATGCTGCCCTCCCTGGCTTCACTTGGTGACTCTTCTGTGAGCTCTTCTTGGGTGTAAGTCCTGGCCGTGGCTCTGCCCTCATGCTGTCTGGAGGGGAAGTCAGGTGTTAGCTTTTGCAAAGCTCAGAAATGAGTATGGTTTTAAAGTGATCAATAATATGAAAGAGTCTAGGTTCCTGCGAGTAAGTAACAAGGCCCATGCAGGGCACCTCCTCTTTTCCTCTCCCCTCCCCTCCCCTCCCCGTCCCGTGGTTGGGACTCTCATCTCCCACTTGCATCATTGCCAGCATACTCCTAACAAATGGCCCAATCCCCGTCCCTGAGTTGGGTGAGGCAGGTGTCTGTTGATTTGAGTTCTTTGTGTGTGTGTGTGTGTGTGTGTGTGTTGTTGAGTTGAGTTCTTCAGGTGTCCCTAAGGTGTGTTCACAACCCACCCACAGCTTTAGAGAACCATGTGCCACCTGCCTGAGGTATTGTGCTGGCAATTAATTGTTACATACCCAGGTTGCTATGGAAGAAAACCCTTGAGTTTTTTGTGTTTGCCAGTCTCTGTGGTGGTAACGAGGAGCCCTAGGGCACAGTGGTTATGTGTTGGGCTTCTAACTGTAGGGCCAGCAGTTCGAAACCACCTGCTGCTCTGTGGAAGAAAGATGGGCCTTTTTACTGCTGTAAATAGTTACCATCTCAGAAACTCACAGGGGCAGGTCTACCCTGTCCTGCAGGGTGACTATGAGTTGGAATTGACTTCATGGCAGGGAGGTGGGGTTTTTTGGTTTCATGGCAGAAATACCCCCACCATGGCCAGTTTCAAGTTATAAGTGTGGCGTCAACTGGCTAGCACAATTTCTGAAAATGTTTCTGTCGAGCTCCTGTGAGGTGGTGTGAGCTGGCTTCTGAAGCGCATGTCACTCCTCTGCCCGGTCCTGGAGCACCTCTAGATCTTGCGCCTTGTTCCCCAGTGCCCCGGCACACACCAGGGCGATGTCAGTGGGCGCAGTAATATGAGGGTGCTCTGCATATGTGAAAGCCCACCTGGCATCGCAGCGATTTTGACTCACAGCAAACGTTCATGGAAAGATTCCATTGTCTTTTCATTACATTTTTCTATGGACTTTTTGAAGCCCCTTCATGTAGGTTTCCTCACTATCCAAACGTCGCAGCGCCTTGCTAGGGCACCTTCTGTAAGCTGAAATGATTCAAAAAAGGAAGCCAGGGCTGTTCCTTTGTATGGGATTCTTTTTTTTTTCTCCTCCAGTATTCTCAGAACACCGTCACCTCCTTCTAAATTTCCATATCAGAACTAAAAGCTAAAAGTACAGAAACAGTGTCCACAGACACGGTTCAGAGCTATGGCAACTGGACGCTGCTCAGAATGAGGGCTGCCTCTCTAATGGCTGGTGCGAAACAAATGCTGAATGTGAGTTTCGCTTTTTGCCTTTTTTTTTTTTTAAGTAAAGGCAACAATCCTCTTCAGATTTCTCTTGATTTATGAAAATGGCTACTAATGTAAGTTTTTGGTGAAATCAAAGTGGAATAAGGGAAACTTTCCAAAAGCGGGGGAGGACTGTTGTTACGGTAGAACCAGTAACATTTGTTGAAAGATTGGATGTGATGTGCGTGAAATTGAAACTGGCAGTCATCATCATGGGTTATAATTAAGCGGTGGTGATGGATGAAAACCATAGAAACGCTAGAGTTAAAGGATTTTCATTTGAGCCCCGGGAAGGACAGAATTGTCATTTTCCAAAGTGGGGAGTGGGTTTGTTCTTGTGGGTGCCATTGAGTGGGCTCCCATCCTCTAAACAACAGAATGAAACACCGCCCTGCCCTGGGCCCGCCTCAGAACCGGGTCCTGCCTGGGTCCATTGTCACAGCCACTGTGTCTGTTCGTCTTGTGGAGGGTCTTCCTCCTTTTCTCGCACCCTCAACCTGACGTCCTTCTCCAGGGACTTGCCTCTCCTGATAGCACGCCCAAAGTTACTGAGAGCAAGCCTCCCCTCCTCCATTCCTAAGAGCATGCGGACCGTACTGACTGTAAGATCATTTGTTTCCTCCTCTGCCAGCCAGATACTTTCGGTCTTCTTTACCAACACCGTGATTTATTTAATTTTGAAAACCGTTTTATGGGGCTGTAATCCATATAGCAAACAGTTCAATAGTTCAGTCATCTCAAGAAGAGTTGTGCAGTCAGCACCACTCTCAGTGTTAGACCCTTTTCTTCTTTCTGGTACTCTGTTGTTAGCTCCCCCTTCCCTCCCCAACAACTTCCCCTGTCCTACGACACCATCATTTAAATGCTGCCATTCTTGGGGCGTCCATATTCATTGTCCAACTTTCACATTGACATGAGGCGATTGAGGTGCCATAGTGGGGGTCAGGCGCAACGTGGTCCTGGAAGTATGTTCTTTGCTCCCTTTGTAAAGAGGTCTTTGGCGGCAGATTTGCTCAATGCAATATATCGTTTCGTTTCTTTTTTTTTAAGAGACCTACTTGGGCCGTTCTGCTTTGTCTGACAGGGTTGCTGTGAGTCAGAATCGACTTGAGGCAGTGAGATTTTTAGGGTGTGGTGCAATGGTCGAGCAGACTAAGGTGCTTAAGGCTCCGGCCTGTGCAGTAGTGCGGATCTGACTCTCACCGCTGCCAGCATTATTAGGGAGCCCTGGTAGTGTAACAGGTTAAGCATTGGGTTGCTAGCCACAAGGTCAGCAGTTTGAAACCCCCAGTTGCACTGCAGAGAAAGATGAGATGTGCTATTTTTTTTTTTTGGTGGTCTTTTCTTTCTTACTCTTTTTTTCTTTATATTATTATTGTTGTTGTTGTTTTGTTATTTCATTTCTGGACTGCTGTTGCTATGAGCATTGTTTGTATATCCAAGTAAAATGAAATCCTTGATTTTAAACTTTTCTCCACTTATCATGATGTTGCCTCTTGGTTCAGGCATGAAGGTTTCTTCTTCACATTGAGTTGTAATCCACACTAGAGGTTATAGACTTTGATTTTCATCAGCTTTTTCCTTGCATGTGACATTAATGCTATTTTTGGACAATTCCCACATTCGGTTGGGTCACCTTTCTTTGGAATGGGCGCACATATAGGTCTCTCTTAGTCAGTTGCCAGGTAGATAGCCTCCAAGTGTTCCAATGCTGAATTAATTTGTTGGTACATTTCAGATGGTTTTAAGTCGATTCCTAGAGTCTTGTTTTTGGCTAATGCCTTCAGAGCGGCTTGGACTTCTTCCTTCAGTACCATTGGTTCTTGATCATATGTTACCTCTTGACATGATTGAATGTCAACCAATGTTTTTCGTACAATGACTGTGTATTCTTTCCATAGTCTTTTGACACTTCGTGAAATTTGCATCATTCAATATTTTGCCCATAGAATCTTTCAGTGTTAACAACTTCAGGCGTGAATTTTTCTTTGGTTCCGTCAATAATATGCTGTGTGTTCTTCACTCTTGGGCTTCCAACTCCAGGTCTGTGCATATTTCATTCTAACACTTTACTTTGTCTTCTCGAGCTATGTGGTAGATTGGGTTGACTAGAGAAAGAAATCCAGTGACACTTATATATGTGTAAGAAAGAGTTTTATACCAAGAAGCAATTATATATCAAGAAAGCCTCCCAGCAAGTCCAATTCTAGTCTATAAGCAGGAAGATCACAGGCTGATGGGGGCAGATTTGAGTGGATCCAAGGTCAGTGGTGGCAGAGTCCCTTGAGGCAAGAATGTAGAGCCTCGAGCGAAAACTCCCTGTGGTATGCACGTCTTTGTCTCGTTCATATCCTTAGAGTGGTGTGTAAGAATACAGCACGGCAGGGCTCCAGCAACTCTCAAGGTCAGTGGCAGACTTTAGAGGATGGGTGGAGTAGGGAAGGTTGGGAGGGCAGGGAAGGAAGGTCAAGCCAAGGTCAGCAGGTGTTGAGTTTGGGGAAAGGGAGGATGGAAGTCCACAAGAAGGGAGAAATTTGGGGAGGAGGTTGGGGTAGAACACTGGGTGGGCTGTGATGAGTGCTTTGAACTGTAGACTGTAGGAGTTCTTCTCTGAAATGTGAACCCTCACTGATTCACAGTGAGAGATTTGTGGAGGAGGAGAGTGTGAGCGGTGAGGCTAGGCAGTTGGTAGGAGGCGAGTCTTAGGCTCTGTAGCTGTGTGGAGGGGCTTGGACATCCTCAGAGACAGTGGGGAGCCACTGAAGTAATTTAAGCAGAATGATGATATAATTAAATTTAAAAAATTTTATTGGCATATACTTCACATGTCGTACAGTTTATTTGTTTAGTCATATTAAGAATTGTGGAATCATCACTGCAATCAATTTCAGAAGTTTCTTCTTATACTCATTGTTAGTTCCCCATCTTCCCCTGCCATGCCCCTATCCAGTATTTTTCTCTATAAACCTACCTGTCCTGCATTTCATATACAGAAAATCATACAAAACAAAAAACAATTATACAATATCATACAGAGCAAGCAAAAAAACAAAAAACCCCAACACCAATGAGTAGACATAATGTAGAAAGCCCCCAATTAAAGAGAAAGCAGAAAATATTGAAAACTAAAACAACTTTAAAATAGGTCAAAAGGGAGCTAAAATGATAGGATATTAATATTTGCACTTATCTACCTCTGCCATAATGGATTTTACAATGCTCTCTATTCGATAGCAAGGGTATTCACATCCCTTGACTATTGTCAGAGGGGATTCAGCAGAGACTGAATCCATGTGGGGCCCTGCAAATGGATTTTGGACTTCC